TTAAATAACTAACCTGATTCAATGGTCAAATGATTCGATTGGGGAAGACTCGTGAGTTGGATCATCGTCTATTCTACTGATTTTGCTTGCAATGGGGTAGGATTAAATAAATCTGTTGTCGATTTTTTTTTTACTCCGACAAATTTAGATTACAGAAAACGACCGCAAAGGGGATTTCCAACTAGGGGAGGGAAATGTTTCCATAAGTCTTGAATTCGCAAAAGTTATGAATTAATAGCGGCAACACGACGAAACAAGTCGGTATATTAGTCTGCTGCATTAGGTGGAAATCGTTTAAAAGATTTTAAAAGAATTTTTTTTTATACCGAGTCAACTGCCTCGGTTGCCTCAACGTAAGCTACGCCAATGCTGAGGTTGACCTTCAGGCTACAGATTCTAACCTCATCTATTTGGTGGTTAGCAAAATACAAGTATCATCAGTGAACAATAATTACTAAAGTTAAAGATGCTCAAGATACATGATCAATGATCTTTTAACATACATGTATACAAACTTCTGGTCTGCAGCATTACATTAAGTTTGAAATCGGGACCTGCAATTGAGAGGATGCTGTTTGTCATTTTTGTTTTTTGGTTATCGTTTTATACAGATTGTTCTTGTGTTGTTCTGTTGCACCACTGTCCCATGTTTAGAGGGAGGGTTAGGCACCTGCTAACATATTTAACTCCACCACATCTGTATGTGCCTGTCCCAAGTCATGAGCCTGTAATTTTTTGGTTGTCATTTGTTACTGTATGGCATATTGTTTTCCATTTATAGTTTTGTACATAATTAAGGCCTTCAGTTTTCTTTTTTGAATTGTTTTACATTTTGTTATGTCAGGGATTATGTACTTTGCCATGTGGTATGGGATTTGCTCATTGTTAAAGGCAGTACAGCGACCTATTGTTGCTTACATCTATGTTATTTGGTCTTTGGTAGAGAGTCGTCTCATTGGCAAACATATCACCACATCCTTTTATTGTATATTCAAGCTAGAAAGTCTCATTTTCTAGTTGTGATTGAAATAATTAAATGTTTCATTTTTCCAGATGTAACATAAACAGGATTTTGTAAACACAATTTTAGTGTCCACAGTTAAACAGTATTCAAAATAGCTTTTTGACCTTGACCTTTGGGTCATAGATTTCAACATTTTCGGACACACCTTGACAAAAGTGGTGACCAACTATACAAACTATCCACAACTAGATCAAGTGTTGGTCAAGAAAAGAGCAGACATAATTGTGGACAAACATTCGGAAATTTTTTTAATATAGGTCTGCAAAATCCTTTTTTTTCTTACTAAAAATAAAAATCTATCATGTTTTTAACATTTATTAAAAAAAATAAATAACACATAATAATAATATTCTAAAAGCATTAAATAATTTACTCCACACAAGGCCAAAAATATAATTTAAATTGTTTGATGTTGCCTACCTACCTGAAAATTTTTATGACACTAATCGTTTTCATTTTCCTGCTCTAACGCTGTCTAAAACATGTAACTTATGTTGTTGCCCCCCTCCCCCCCCAAAAAAAAATCCCTACCTGCACACATGTTCCTACTAAACCCTACAAGGCATGAGTACACAACTTCAAACAAAGAATTTTTAAGGGTGGCCCAACAATTAAATTATTTATACACATACTGTGACATAGCATACAAGGCCATTAAAATCCATATTTAAATTCTACTTTAAAAATAAAGCAACAACAAGAGGTTACAACAATATTCTTGCTGGGGAACAGGACAAAAAGCTTTCATTTATCAATATGATCCCTACAAATTGTTTGTTTTAGGGATATAAACTACAAAATAAAATTTTGCATGTACAGTAAACACAAATCACTTATGGTACTTGGGGATTTATGTCACATAAAACAAATTTAATGATCATCCATCTGACAGTGTCTAGCTGCAATAACACATAGGGACACACTTCTTCAGCATCATTTATTAGTTGTGATCTGTGCCACACTTTGTTTATTTCACAATTTCATAAATATGGACAGAATTACAACAAAACTTGCGAAGTTTTTTTCTATAGGAAATGAAGTAGTGCACTTGCTATTTTATTTTTGATCTGAATTATTTTTTCTAGGTTTCCTATACCATGTATACATGACAATCAACATTTTTGATTATATACATGTATTTTTGGAGATGACAGGCAGCACATGTCTTCCTTGGAGGATGCACATGTATACATTTTAAATATTTTTTTAACTGGGTGGAGGGATTTTCTAGATAAGCCAATTCTACATTATAATATGCATATACATGTATGTATGCCAAACCCATTCAGAGAAGTACCCTGTTAAGAAAAAATGTGACCATAACATCTTTTTATTCAATTCTAAGATTTGGTTAAAAACACATATTTTCTGCATGGTTTTATTTAGCAAAATTAAGCTAGAAATTTGCACAAGGGAGGCAATCTAAAATTACTTTTATAGACTAGAAAATAGCATAGAAAACAGATGTACATGTACCCATTGAGCAACACAAATATTAGGCCATTGGACTTATGAAAATAAAAGAATTCACGGTATATATGACAAAATATTTTAAAGAAAAGTTAATTCTCCTGAAAAGCAGAGTTTTTGCCACCAGTATATCTCAGATTACCAGCCTTATTTCTTGTCAATTGAAAATAAATAAATAAAATTCATATATGGAAAATTACATGTAGATGAAATAAACATAATCAAGAACTAACAGTTAGTCAATTATTAAATGAACATTACTTTCATAATAACAAACTGTTTATAGTCATAAAGACTTGCTTCTGTAAATTCAGAAATTATGGTGATGTTTCTATTATTGTGAGAAATATAATGAAATAATTACATTAGATGTATGTTTCATTATAATACGTTATTCTGATTGGCTACACTGTAATCTTGCGTTATTCCTTAATCAACTTCATTACACAATAAAATTTTATCATTCATGATGACACGAGGTCCCACAATAAAGTGCACAGGTAAATTAAATAAAAACTTTATAAAAATCGTGTTTTCATGATCCTAGCTAAAAAATGTAATTATAAGTATCGAATGCTACTTTTTGTAACTTCATAGGGTTGTAAAAGCGTTGACCGTGTGCACATTTTTAGAACGAAGTGCTTCCGCGCTTCATACAAAATGTACTTTGGTCAACGCTTTTACACCCTAATGAAGTTACAAAAAGAAACATTCAATTCTTAAATAAATGTTGCACAATAACAAATTGTATTATTAACAAGAGTGCACACGCTGAAATGTCTCGCCTTCTTTACTAATCATTGATATTATGTTGATAGTCCTAAATATAAAGCTTTATTACAACTGTCACATAAACTTAACATTAACCAAGTAAACTAAACATTGACCAATGAACCATGAAAATGAGGTCAAGGTCAGATGAACCATGCTAGGCAGGCATGTACAGCTAACAATTCTTCCATACAACAAATATAGTTGACCTATTGCTTATAGTTTAAGAAAAACAGACCAAAACACAAAAACTTAACACTGAGCAATGAACCTTGAAAATGAGGTCAAGGTCAAATAAAACCTGCGTGACTGCCAAATAGATCATAAAATATTTCCATACACCAAATATAGTTGAACTATTGCATATAGTATTAGAAAAAAAGACCAAAACTCAAAAAACTTAACTTTGACCACTGAACCATGAAAATGAGGTCATGGTCAGATGACACCTGCCCGCTAGACATTAAACCTTACAATCATTCCATACACCAAATATAGTAGACCTATGGCATACAGTATAAGAATAACAGACCAAAACACAAAAACTTAACTATAACCACTGAACCATGAAAATGAGGTCAAGGTCAGATGACACCTGCCAGTTGGACATGTACACCTTACAGTCCTTCCATACACCGAATATACAAGACCTATTGCTTATAGTATCTGAGATATGGACTTGACCACCAAAACTTAACCTTGTTCACTGATCCATGAAATGAGGTTGAGGTCAAGTGAAAACTGTCTGACGGGCATGAGGACCTTGCAAGGTACGCACATACCAAATATAGTTATCCTATTACTTATAATAAGAGAGAATCTAACATTACAAAAAATCTGAACTTTTTTTTCAAGTAGTCACTGAACCATGAAAATGAGGTCAAGGACATTGGACATGTGACTGACGGAAACTTCGTAACATGAGGCATCCATATACAAAGTATGCAGCATCCAGACCTTCCACCTTCTAAAATATAAAGCTTTTAAGAAGTTAGCTAACGCCGCCGCCGCCGCCGGATCACTATCCCTATGTCGAGCTTTCTGCGACAAAAGTCGCAGGCTCGACAATAAAAACAGCATTACTTGTATGTGGAACTTTCTTTCATATCACAATAATTTGTATCACTATTTTGAGGTATTTATCAACAATCATGATAATCATGATAATAAATGCACACAATACCAGTAATTTTTATAATTCACTGTATATGATAAGAATAAAGAATAAACATAATCAAATAAACCCCACACATGACAAACTTTAGTTTTGGAATATACACTTAATATGGTATTAAACATGAAGAAAATACATAAACAAAACAATAAAGGTAGATAAGTGGTCTTAATTAATTTCTGATTGTAAATAGCTACAAGTAGATAAGTGGTCTTAATTAATTTCTGATTGTAAATAGCTACAAATGATTGATTTAGATTTTTACTGAAATTAGTTTTGATGCAGAAATGGAATTTCTTTCTGAGACTATTCTTTACTTTGAAGAAAAAATTATGATTTTATCTTATGGTCAAAAAATTTTATAAAGGAAAATATTTTCTTTGATTTAAAACTTATAACATTGCATACATTGTATGTTTTATATCAGTGGAGGTAACTCAGAAAATTAAATTTTATAAAGGAATGTACAGTAAATTTACATATTTTGTTATGTACCAGGGAAACAAGTAATTGTTCTTATCTTTTCCTCCTGAAAGCACATTATAAAAACATCTTCTCATGTTTTATTTTAATATTCTTTCAATTAGTTTTCTTTCTTTTCACACAATAGCGCTATTCCTTGTATAATTCTTACAAAATCTAAACATTTTGCACAATCTGAAGCTTGAAAAATGCTCTGTGACTCATAACTTCTATCATAACTTTGAAAATAGCATGATATAAACTACATTTTAGCAATGTTTGAAAAAGTTCTATCTTTTTAAATTTAGACCTATCTACCTTAAATTACAATGGTAAAACTTTGACTATCATCTAAGCCTAGGTAAGATTAAAATCTAAAGAAAATCACATATCACAAAAAATGTATAATGTAAAAAATATACTACATCTATTGCAGTTGTTACAATGTACTACAAAAGCTCACACAAACACCCACACAAATTAAATACAATAACAAATGAATATTCTCTTATGGTTGTGGCCTGTTCTCAAATTCCGGCATAAAAAGAATATGAAAGTCACTAACGTACAATATATCAAACGTGTATAGAGCAACATTAAAAAAATATGGTTCGAATTATTACAATACATTGTACTTTTCAACGGTGATTTCTTACAGAATACAAACTTATAAAATAAATAAGAGCATTAATGATGGTAAACAAAGCCAAAAATAATCTCAAAATGTTTGTTCAACATGAAAATTACAAATATAAATGATCAAAGGAGTAGTTTCATTTGCCTCAACAAAATAAAATTTTTTAGAACTACATCAAATTTGTGCACATAATTAAATAAATGCATAAAATCAAAAAATATCAATGAATATGACAAGATTTTCAATCTTGTGACCTCATATACATGCCATATCTACATCAAAATTTGTGCCAAATTCACAAAAAAACAAAGAAAATGTCAATGCTTTACAGCAGTTTTCCATCCATAGTATCTTTGAGGAAAAATTGTGCACAGCCAAAACAAATTAAAAAAAAATGAAAAGCTTTCTTGTAGCATTTTACACATTCTTAAATATCAACAGTTTTTTGAATGGGCACATACTTATATACTCAAAACTTGAAACAAAACAAGTAACACCAGGAAATTTTACAAAATATCCTTATTTTGTCATTTTTAATTTATAAACATTAAACACCATTTTCCTTGGTTATGTAAATGCAAATTAAAAACTTTTAAATGTAAACTAGAATTTAGACCAAATATGTGTCTTATTGCCCGTTAGGTACAAATACGCTGGCATGGTCATATAAAAAAGTATAAAAATGTTGTGAAATTGATAATAACTTATAAAAAATGCTGAACATAAAATCAGCAATAATAATATTCTAATTTTGGATTTCTTGGATTGAGACATACTAAAATTTTACATTCATACAAAAATTTTGATTTGATAAGTGACAAAATCTTAAAGTTGGATAGGTCATGGTAAGAGAGGAACAGGGAAGTAACTCTTCTTGTGATAAAGAATTATCTACCTTGGATTCATTATTATTTGTAGGATACTAATTTTATGGATTTTTTAGTAGAGACAAACCACAAATTCAAGTTCTAAGTCTATATTTCAGATGCAGTGATTAGAACAAATGACAAATTAAAAAAAAAAAAAGATTCCACAGTATTTTTTTAACAATGTTTCATTCATCATTGTAAAAATGTAGTACCTATATTCTTCCGATTTATATATATATGTTGGAATAAATTTGCTTTGAATACCCTTTGTAACTTTATTTTAACATGTTTAATAGTGTTAATCTTTTCTGCTGACATTTGTGGGCTTAGTGTCAAATAATTTATACATATTCAGGACAATTAAAGTTAAATGTAAATATAATTTAAATCAGAAGGAATGATATGATTGAAGAAAAGTGTTGAATACAAACTGTTTAAGTATAAGCTGTTGATTAAAAACACAGACAATATAAATCAAAATATGATATCATATGATCAAATTTACATTAAGTTTGCCTCATCCAAAATCATCCCCTCCTATCCCCACCCCATCACACTGTACTCCTAAAACTAAACCTGAATCCTGCAATTTACCATGCAAAGATGTTACATTATGGTTACTATTGATTAAAAAATCATCCATAAATATATAACACAGGGCCCTAGATATTTGTTCTGAGCTACTGCATTTTTCCCACCAGAAACCCTGGGGAACTGTATAGGCATCTTAAAAATTCAACTTTTGTTACTGCACATCATGGAGTATCCCTTACAGCATTTGAAATGTTCTCTTTCTAATTTTTTTTGCATGTCCAAAATCTTTTTGAAAATCTTATAAAATCTTCCAACATATAAATAAGTTAATCATCATCATCTATGTTAGTCAGCATGCAGTATTCAGTGTCTGACATTTTATCTTTATCCTTTTCCGAACCTTTAAAGAATCTGCGATTATACAAAGACAATGCCACAATTAACAAAATCAATCCACAAAGTCCAAATATTATCATAAATACATTGCTAATAGTAGGATATTTCCCATACACCACTTCCTTGTGTACATCTATTTCCCACAAGTCACTAAGTAGCCCATCTTTTCCATTTGTATCATGTCCCATGCCTCCGTAAATGTGATGAAAATTGCTGTACCTGTTGAATGACATAAAGCTAGTTCTACTTCCTGGATAACGTTCTGAATTGGACTCCCCATATTTTCCTCCAGTGTTTCCATACTTGTTGCCACCCATCCATGACCACATTTTGAAAACAAATTCATACCGCCATAAATCATTTAATAATCTGCCTGGTTTGAAAACTGTAACCGATTCAGCTGTGGAATCTGCTCCATCTCCACCAAACATCCATAGATTTCCATTAGTATCCACCCACCCTGTAGCCTTGACTCTACATCCAGGCCAGTTATCCTTACTGGCAACTTGGAAATGACCATAATTGCCTGAATGACATACATTGTCAAAACCACCAATCTTTGTCCAAGAATCTTTTTCAATATCATACCTCCAGAGATCATTAGCATATTTTCCATCAACATATGTCTCACCAGAATCTATTACGGCTGTATTGCCACCAAACAAATATAAAGATCCTTGCTGAAAGGTTGTTGCCCCACTACGAGGTTTGGGATATGAAACAAGAGTTTGACCAAAACTATTTGATGGATATTTTTTTGAGCTTTCCATTTCACTCCATTTTTGGTTAACTAAAGAAAAAGACCACATGTCAAATAATGCTTTGTGTTCTGAATTTCTTCCTCCAAATATTATAAGCATAGTGCTTGTGCACCAGCTTGACTGGTGTCCTCGCCCTGGTGGATGGCTGATTATGGAACCATTACCTGACAATGTAAGTTCTTCCCATGAATTGTCTATTATATTATAAATCCAAGTGTCATCAAGTTTTTTACCGTCTTGATCAATTCCTCCGTAAATAACGATCATTTTTGATGGTATACCACAAATTGAAGGCGAGTAACGGGCAGTTGGTTTATTATTAGCGACAGGTTTTAAAGTACTCCAGTGGAATGTATTTACATCCAGAACCCATAAATCATTGGTGAGAGTAAATTCCTTTGATATGCTATTGTAGGACCATCCACCAAACAGATATGACTTTATGCTATCATCAAACCACAATCCCCCTTCAGCTCTGGATCCTGGGGACATCGCTGTTGCTGAGACATTTGCTGTCTTTTCACCACCATTCCATACAATATCTATATCTACAAGATTAAATAAATGTGTAATCTACTAAATGGTGATCTAAAATCAACTATTGGTATATATAGAATAACAACTTTAAAATCAGTTTTTGAATACAACCAAAGATAGACTCTTCCTTTAAACACCTCTCTCTGAACATTTCCATATTTTTATTAATTCAAATTTCCTATGCCATATAATGTTGAATCTCTATTAATTTTTTTGTTTAGGCCCTTTAAGTTTTTATGTTTAACTGAGATCTGATCTGAAATGTCAAGTTTAATCAAAATCAAAGAAGCATAAAACTCATTATAAAAATTAGGGAGCAATCATTTAATAAAAAAAATAAACAAATTATATGACAAAACAAGGTTTGGCACAACCAGTATTGGACTAGATCTTCTTTGATGAAAAATATGATCCATGCAAAACCAACTGTGTTTCATTTACCTAGGAGGACCTGTACTTTAGAGTTAATGTTCAGTTAATGATTAAGATTAGGTTTTAGGGCTAGTGTTACTAGTAGGTATGGGTGATGGTTAGTTTTAGAGATAAGGTGGCCGAGAACACCGTTATTTCGTAGTGCATTTCTTTTAGATAATAAATTCAAATTAAAAAAAATTGCACCTGCTCTATCTCAAAAAATATTTTTACAGTGTAGTGTACTACTTTTGGGACAAATAATATCAAAATTATAGAAAAGTCTACCAGCTCTAACTCAAAATATGGACAATTCTATGTTAAGAGTTTGACAGCTTCAGACAAGTGTACTAATTTTTGACCTTTTTTAACTGGAACAAATCACTCGTTTACATAAAAATTCATCAGCCCAATTTTTTTAACATGTAATTTCATCCCCCTACTTAATATTTCTTGCATAAAATATAAAGAAATAAATTTGGAAAGTGTATGATAAATACTGAACAAAAATTCAGTTAAGTTAGAGTTTATTTTTTCGTTTGTTTTGAAGAAATAACAATAAGTTTTCAAAATAATTTAACTTTAATTTTTTTTGTTATAAGAATTGAAATATATTAAACTTATCAACTATTCACAAAAAAAGATATTTTATGAAAAATATTTAATAAGTCAAACTGTTCTTGAATAAAAAAATAGAGTGTGGACATGTGAGGTGCAAACGTGAAAGGTACGAATACATGTGTTAAGGGAGTAAACGGACCACACCGTTCCACTTTCCATCAAGTACTGCTCCGGTCTCAAATGGGCATCACCAGCGCTAGTGACGTCTTGTAAGGCTATTTTATTTCTGCTTTATTATTTGGACTACACCAGCGCATGAGAATCAAGTACTAGCACAGTAAGAGTATCCCGACAGGCGATAATTTTTTTGCCGACCTACAACAATTGTACATTCAATTAAGGAAAAAATGACTCTAACTTATGGTTTCATGTGTACATTTACTCATGGATCATGTACTTACTAAGTCATAAACTGAAAACTATCCTTATTTTTTGACCTTACAGTTCATCATAACAAATGGACAAAAATGGCTGTATTTCCACATCAAAAACTACTCTGAGTACAGACTTACCTGTCCAGTTGGAAAAGTTTTAATGCCTGGCATCCACTAGATATATAAAAGTTAAATGCATTTTGTGTTTCAGAAAGATAAAATCTTTTTTGGATTTTGATGGGCATTTTTTTTCCTTTCTGCAGAAGGTGTAAAAATAAACAAACACCTGAATTACTTTGATACTATCCCCTCAGTTAAACCCTTTAAACTCACCTATAGTTGTGTAGATACCTATTGTCTGTCTATTGCCCATGTCAATCAAGGACAATCTATACAATAGACCTATTCACACTTGTATGCAAATTTGTCCGCCATTACGTAAAATCACACAGGTTCCCGTAAACTTTGACATCATAATTCAAAACATTTGACGTCACAATTAAAAAGTGATTGTTGCCTGACGTCAAAAGGTTATTCGGAGAAGATCTAAGGTCATTCAGAGGCAAAATATAGCTAAATACCAAAAGTGTAAATACGTTAAAACAATACAGTTTTTACCTGAGAGGGAACATCTCAAAGTTGTATCCCAACTTAGTTTATTTTTACACCTTCTTCATGAACGAAAAAAAATGCCCATCAAAATCCAAAAAAGATTTTATCTTTCTGAAACACAAAATGCATTTAACTTTTATATATCTAGTGGATGCCAGGCATTAAAACTTTTCCAACTGGACAGGTAAGTCTGTACTCAGAGTAGTTTTTGATGTGGAAATACAGCCATTTTTGTCCATTTGTAATGATGAACCTTACAGTTACAGTTACTTTTTTTATTTTGTTGTACCTACTTATTTTAAGATTTGAAAATACCTGCTGTTAATATACTGGGTATGACTATGGCGATAGTGATGAGTAATTTCAGGTTATCCATCTTATAGATCTGTCAGTTATTCTAGAAGGTAGAGCTTCAAAAATTCTCTTTTGGTTGGCAGTGTAAACATTTAATTTGCGGTGTTTTAAAGGTAAACGTCCGAGGACGAAGAAACGAATGACATTTCCGGCGTAAACAATGGCCGCCCCTGAAAAGAAACTTGTTCGTTCAAAAAGCGGTCTTCGTATGGTGACAGTCGACGACGAAGAAGCTAGTCCATTTCTATTGATTGAGCCACCATGGGTCCCAGATAATGAGGTATACAGCACTGTTTGGCATGCCATTATTTACTGACTTATTGCTGTTCAAATTCTGATCATGTAACAAACATGATACACGACATACACCAGTCAGGGGTATTTTAATATACTCTTGCAAGTATTACTTTAAAATTACCAATACAAGATGTGTTGAAAATGAGGCTATTTTAACTGTTACAATATGTAGTAGGTTTTACTTATTTATCCACGATATTTCTATACTTATTGATTATAATATAGACAACTTTCCGATTCGTGCACTTTCCCGTAAATTTCCTACATTTGTACATGTCACAATGCTTATGTTAAGAATGCACAATAAGAACCAATTGTTTGGTGACGTCATTTAAGGCGATTTGCCTCTGGTCAACCTGTGTTACTCATTCATAAAAACAACTCCTGATTGATGTGTAGACGACTCAAATTCATGCACTTTCCCGTAAATTTCCATGGTCACAATACACCTTATCGCTATTCCCGCTTGACCCGAGAATCTGTCCCGCTCGAACTTTTGACGTCATACAACAATCACTTTTCCATTGTGGCGTCAGACATTTTCTATTATGACGTCAAAATTTTACGGGAACTTGTGTGATGTCCAGTAATGGCGGACAAATAGCGATAAGGTGTATAGATCTTATCGCTATTTTGAATCTGCCACACTTTACCCGAAAATCTGCGACACTCAAACTATTGACGTCATACAACAATCACTTTTCCTTTGTGGCGTCAGACATTTTCTATGGTGCATCAAATTTACACCAGAACCTTTGTGATGTCCAGTAATGGTGGTGATTAGGTGATAAGGTGTATGAAGAGGATCCATGACGATGATGTCAACTCATACCAGATTTTTACCAACTCTTACTTCAACCAACTCTGACCCAATTTTCAGTTGTATTCATATGCAATATAGCAGTTATTTTTGTCATATAAATTTTTTTTTCTAAATAGAAAAATAGATATGTTGATTTAACATTATGATTATAAACTTTACTAATTAGTGATCATTATACAGTGGACCTACAAGCTGATTAAATTGGAGTTTATAAAAAATAAAAAAATGTTATGGGGTTACAGCCCTAACCGTTGAAGAATTTTGGGTCAAAAGCAAACATTTTTCTGGTTTCGGGACAATAACTTGAGTATAAGTGTATGAATTTGTATGAAATTGTACTACAAGGTTGGATTGAATTTTTGGGGTTATGGCCTATCTGCTTGGAAATTAGGGGCCAAAAAAGGGTAAAAAACAAGCAATTTTTTAAACTTTGTTTGAATTGCTTATTTCTGACCAATTTCAATGGGGTTTAAATAATCTTGAAATATTGGTGTTCTTTGATATGCTTAATCTTACCGTGTATTTAGAATTTTGGTCCATATATACAAATTTATTAAATAATTCAAAATAACGTTCTAACAATCAAAGTCATACACAAAACCAATAAAACAATGAAAACTTACCTCCTCCATTACATCACATCAATTGTCTACTGCACCTTAAATAGGTAAAGAGATGCATCATAAAAATTATCAAATTATCAGCATTCTAATTCAAATATATCAATCCACTTCAGTAAAAAATTTAAACATTTCCCACATATACTTAAAAACAATTTCCTCATTATTGACATTTCTGTTCAAAGGGAAATAACTCAAACTTCAATTTAATGATAATCAACTCTCAATCCTTTAAATAAAATTATTCTTTGAATATTGTTTTTATTGGTATAAATATTGATTTTGTTATCAGTAAATTAAAATCATACTAATAGTTTTGTTATACCCATATGCACTTTAACGGTACTACAATGTGTTGATTGTTTGGCATTTTGGCATTGAACAAGGTCATGTTTTTCTCTGACTGTTAATGATGTCTTTACACTAAATCCATTGGATGTTGGATGTGTACTGATTGATATTTTAGTCTTAGATACATGATTTTTTTATTAGTTGTTATTGGCTTTGAACTAGATGTCAGTAACTGCAAGTACTCTCAGATCTGTACTTAATGTCCTTTTTGTTGTTTAGGATGAGGGATGGATAAATACCCTGTCACGTCTGGTTTGTGTTTTTATACGACCGCAAAAAAATTTTGTGGTCGTATATTGGTATGACGTTGGCGTCGTCGTCGTCGTCCGGCGTCGTCGTCTCCGGCGTCGTCGTCCGAATACATGTTGGTTTTCGCACTCTAACTTTAGTTTAAGTGAATGGATCTTTTTGAAATTTGACCATAAGGTTAAATACCACAAAAGGAAGGTTGGGATTGATTTTGGGGGTTATGGTACCAACAGTTAAGGAATTAGGGGCCAAAAAGGGGCCATAAATGAGCATTTTCTAGTTTCCAGACAATAACTGTGGAACGGTGTATGGATCTCTCTGAAATTATACTACAAGTTTCCATACCACAAAGGGATGGTTAGGATTTGCTTTGGGGGGTTATGGCTCAAACCGTTTAGGAATTAGGGGCAAAAAAGGGGGAAAAACAAGGTTGTCCTGGTTAATGGACAAATACTTTAGTACAAAACATAATTTAAAGCAGTGTAAGGGAGATAAATCAAATACATCATTGAAATTATCTCCCTTACACTGCTTTTAAATTATGTATAAAGTAATGGTTAATGAACAATAAAGATAATCTAAAACAGTGTAAGGGAGGTAATCCAAATACAACGTTTTGGTTACTTCCCTTACACTGCTTTTAAATTATGTTTAAAGAAATGCATATTTATAAAGGAAGACCAGTAAAAATATCTGCAAATGTTTTCATCTTTTTTTTTTTACAAAAAATCCATATGAAAGATTTGACACTATATTTTTATTAATTCTATTATAAAATAGATTAAGTTAGCACTATGGTAAATTTAAATGGGTAATTATGGTTGCCAACTCCATTGGAAATTTGAATTGAGATTATGACCATATCTTGAGGGAAAGAATTTTTTTGGGGGAAAAAGGGGGAGGGGGATAAAAAGAAATTGTGGGGGGCCAATTTTTTCTCATTTCAGATTTCAGAAATTAAAAAGAATTATTCTTCAAATATTATTTTTTTTTCAAATTTCAAGAAGTAATCTTTAATTGCACAGTATGGCGCATTAGATTTGTAAAATCTTTGATCACATTTATTTATTTGTTATGCCGAATCTAACAGTGTATTTAGATTTTTAATTTTGGGTCCAGTTTTCAAATTGGTCTACATTAATGTCCAAAGGGTCCAAAATTAAACTTTGTTTGATTTTAGCAAAAATTGAATATATGAGGTTCTTTGATATGCTGAATCTAAACATGTATTTAGATTTTTGATTTTTGGCCCAGTTTTCAAGTTGGTCCAAATTGGGGTCCAAAATTAAACTTTGTTTGATTTCAACAAAAATTGAATATATGGGGTTCTTTGATATGCTGAATCTAACCATGTATTTAGATTTTTTATTTGTGGACCCTGTTATCTAATTGGTTCATATTGAGGTCAAAAGGGTCCAAAATTAAACTTTGTTTGATTTCATCTAAAATTGTATTATTGGGGTTCTTTGATATTCCAAATCTAACCGTGTATTTAGGTTTTTAATTTTGGGTCCTGTTTTTTAAATTGGTCTACATTGAGGTCCAAAGGGTCCAAAATTAAACTTAGTTTGATTTTAACAAAAATTTAATTCTTGGGGTTCTTTGATTTGCTGAATCTAAACATGTGTTTAGATTTTTGATTATGGGCCCAGTTTTCAAGTTGGTCCAAGATAGGGTCCAGTATTTAAACTTTGTTTGATTTCAACAAAAATTGAATATATGGGGTTCTTTGATATGCTGAATCTAAACATGTATTTAGATTTTTGATTATGGGCCCAGTTTTCAAGTTGGTCCAAATTGGGGTCCAAAATTAAACTTTGTTTGATTTCAACAAAAATTTAATATATGAGGTTCTTTGATATGCTGAATCTAACCATGTATTTAGATTTTTTATTTGTAGGCCCCGCTATCAAATTGGTTCATATTGAGGTCAAAAGGGTCCAAAATTAAACTTTGTTTGATTTCATCGAAAATTGAATTATTGGGGTTCTTTGATATGCCAAATCTAACCGTGTTTTTAGATTTTTAATTTGGGTCCCGTTTTTTAAATTGGTCTTCATTGAGGTCCAAAGGGTCCAAAATTAAACTTAGTTTGATTTTAACAAAAATTGAATTCTTGGGGTTCTTTGATATGCTGAATCTAAACATGTGTTTAGATTTTTGATTATGGGCCCAGTTTTCAAGTTGGTCCAAATTGGGGTCCAAAATTAAACTTTGTTTGATTTCAACAAAAAATGAATATATGAGGTTCTTTGATATGCTGAATCTAACCATGTATTTAGATTTTTTATTTGTAGGCCCCGCTATCAAATTGGTTCATATTGAGGTCAAAAGGGTCCAAAATTAAACTTTGTTTGATTTCATCGAAAATTGAATTATTGGGGTTCTTTGATATGCCAAATCTAACCGTGTTTTTAGATTTTTAATTTGGGTCCCGTTTTTTAAATTGGTCTTCATTGAGGTCCAAAGGGTCCAAAATTAAACTTAGTTTGATTTTAACAAAAATTGAATTCTTGGGGTTCTTTGATATGCTGAATCTAAACATGTGTTTAGATTTTTGATTATGGGCCCAGTTTTCAAGTTTGTCCAAGTTGGGGTCCAAAATTAAACTTTTTTTGATTTCAACAAAAATTGAATATATGGGGTTCTTTGATATGCTGAATCTAACCATGAATTTAGATTTTTTATTTGTGGGCCCCGCTATCAAAATTGGTTCATATTGAGGTCAAAAGGGTCCAAAATTAAACTTTGTTTGATTTCATCAAAAATTGAATTATTGGGGTTCTATGATATTCCAAATCTAACCGTGTATTTAGATTTTTAATTTTAAGTCCCATTTTTATACGACCGCAAAAAAATTTTTGTGGTCGTATATTGGTATGACGTTGGCGTCGTCGTCGTCGTCCGGCGTCGTCGTCGTCGTCGTCCTGCGTCGTCGTC